GAGCAAAGAAGAAAAGAGAAGTTTGATGTAAGGAAAGAAATTCAAAATTTTGAGCAACGGAGATAAAAGAGTAGCATAGTGGGTTTACTTACTGAGCCATAAGTGCTCACTCTATTAATTTCCATGTTTTTGCAGGTAATAGATGAGATGCGATCGGATGGAACGTCAAGAAGCGGAGGAGAATGACACTTCTTTCTAATTGTATTTTGAATTTATGTATATGACTTCTTTTACTTAATGTAGAGAATTTGTATATGAAAGTAAAGTTAGTTTTGGGCCCACTATCTTATACTTATATGTATATGTTTTCTATAACATATTTAGTGATTTCATAGTATAATTTCCCAAAGTATACTAGCTAGAGAGAGTTATTACCCTTGGGGATAAAAGGGAGTTAATCTTAATTGGTCTTGAAATTATAAATTGTGATGTCATCATTATTATATTCTATTGTAATGTTTTAAGAATGAAATATTGAAAAAATCTATGAAAATGGAATTACATATGAGATAAAATGTTGTGTTGTTCATTTTTTAAAACCCAGACCAGATCGACCGGGAATCAGACTCTTATTCGATCTAGGTACATCCAAAACTTGATTGTAGCAATTGGACTGGATTGACCCAATGTTGAATTGGTAGAACAGTGTTGAATTGTCAGTTCAACCTTGGGTTAGAGAACCGATCAACTCTCGCTGGCCATTTTTGTTATTTTTCGATGGATTTTGCACACAAAATCACAAGAAACAACTCTCAAACACCGATTCACTCCATTTTTGGCTTGATTTCGTCACCCTCATCTTTGTAATATCTGGGTTTCTTCTTTCGCATCGCATGAACTTCAACCATCCACATCGCCATCAACCGTCCACACCATATTGCCTATTGACCGCCAAAACCATCTCACTAGCCTGCCATCTCCACTACTGTTGCGATCGCGTGACACACTAGAGTGTGCGACTCCTCTGCGGGCGATTGCGTGCGTGTGAGACCCCTGTGTGTCTATCAACCTCCACTTTGTCTGGCCAAGACTGTTAATTGACTGGAGGTTGAATTTGATTGTTGGAGTTTTTGGATTGATTGTTGTTGTTTTAAAATTTTATTATGTCATGTTGACATCATGCTGACATCATTGGTATGACCAATCAAACCAACTAACCTATAACCGACCCTTTTGACTAGGTCAAGGCCTCGTCTAGATCTCACAACCTTGGTATTGTCATACGATTTGTTAGAGTGAGCTATTGGATGACGTGTTAGAGTGAGCGATAGATGACGTGTCTACAAATGAGTTTAATTATATTTGCATAGAACATTTTAGAGAATTAATGAGTGCACTGCTTTCAATTTCTCTTCTGTACTCTCACTTTCTACTCTACTAAATCTATTTACTTTTCTTTGATTAATCATAAACTTTCTTTTAGGAAGCGCATTCTACTCTAGTAAAGTCATCAATTGATTCAAGACAAAAACTAGCTATCCAGACTAGAAACCAAACTCTAGAGTCAAAGGGGAAAGATTGGTAATCAAGAGGTAAAAAAATTTGTCACATCATGGTGATGCATAATGGCGTATATCTGATTATGAATAATCCATCTTCGTTTCTGTGTTTCTCTATTTTTTTTTTTTTATTATGTTTGAAAATTGACATGCAATGTTAAAATAAATCCCTTACTGATCATGAAATGTTAATTTGAGAAAACAATTTGATTAATGATCAAATTAATTTTGTTGAATTTTATATATATTTGTAGCAAACCTAATACTGCCATAAAATAATGCGCCATTAATTTTATGTTGTTAGCGACACGAAATTAATTTTATGCCTAGCTGCCATAGGGCTTTCGTTTCTCTTCTTTGTCCCCATTTAATTCACTTATGGGTTATTGCACAGAGATGAGTAAATGACATTTTCCCACCCAAGGTTTGGTGAATCTGCAAGTTCTTACCCCTGGTTTCATAAATTGTAGATTCCCACCCTTAAATTAACATTGTTACTTTTCTCTCAAAATAACCCTTACATCTCAAATTTCTCTCAAATAACCCCTAGAAGATCCTGGCCAAGCCAAGAATCCGGCATGATTCTGGCACCATTGGACCTCCCCGACACCACTATCAACATCCCTTTATCCTCCTCATCAAAACCCCTAACTTTTCCACCCGATTGCACCTCGGCGAGGTGCCAAAATTTGGCTGGAAAGGTGTGATAAAGCATAAAAACCTAAGGGAGAGGCGGCGGTGATCAATGGGCAATTACGATTGGCAATGTTGGGGGTTTTGATAGGGGGAGTCAGTGATGCTATTGGTGGTGTTAGGGGTGGTTTCTAGTGCCGAGATTTGCCGGAATTTGGATGAAACGATGACTAAAAGTAAGAGCGGCTACCGGCAGTTGGAGGGTTCAATCAGGCGGGGAGGTTAGGGGTTTTGATGTGGGGGTTGAGGGGATTGTAATGGTGGTGTCATGAGAGGTTGACTACATCAGCAACAGACCGGAATGGCCTGAAATCATTGGTAGGGTGAATTTGAGAAGTGAAGGGTTATTTTAAAATTTTATCTTTGAAATGACCATTTTACCCTTTTAATTGTTAGATTAAACATTTATCTATTAAGGGTGGGAATCTGCAATTTATGAAACCAAGGGTGGGAACTTGCAGGTTCGCCAATTCCTACCCTAGGTGGGAAAATGTTGTTTACTCCATAGAGATCGTGAATATGTGACCATATTTATTTTTCTTAACTTAATCCCTTTCCCACATATGATTAATCAATAAGATATATCGTTTATTTATAAGTCTGCTTTATTTATAATGTTGTATTTATACTCAAGAAAGAAAACGTAAGAAGCGATGCATAATGGCGTCAAAGTATGATGCAAATTCCTCTTACAAACAATGTTGAAAATACTCAAAAAAGTTTTTATATAGTCATTTCATCAATTGCATAAAACTTGATTTTAAGGGTTCTCTTCAGCCTTGCTAGAAATCTAGAGAATTCAAAATCCAGGTACGGGATAGTAATTGTGCTTATTTTTATCAATGCTTGAGGAACAGAGAAGATTATTTTAAGTATGATTGATGAAGATGGCAAGAAGGTTGAATCTCAAGAACAAATTGTTGGTGCTATTATGGACTACTTCAAGTCCATATTTGGCAAGATCATGAGGATGACTATGATGGCTTAGTGATAGAGGAATTGCAAGGGTGTAAGCAGTTAACAGAGCAAATGCAAAGGAAGCTTGACAACGATGTGACTAGAGATGAAGTGGTGGAAGCCCTATCTTCCATAGGCTTTGATAAAGCCCCTGGTCTAGATGGCATTGTTCAAGTGTGTAAGGCTCCTTCAGGCCATGGTCACAATGAAACGCAAGGCTTGGAAGCAAGCTACCAATGCCTATCAGCGAGAACTATGCTTGGCTTGGTCAATAGTGCCTGCCTATTCAGTCTCATTCAAGCAAACAGGGACCGTCAAAAAAGTGCCTGGATGCATCGCATCCATTACTTTGACTCCTTTTACGCAATTATGAAACTCCACAGAATTTTGTCGATTCCAACGCAACTTATCCTTTTGGAGCTGACGTAACAAACTACGCGAGCCTCCCAACGAAGCCAACATAAATCCTATCCGAATAAAAAAAATAAAAGGAAGTTTCATTATGGTGGTATACCTGCCTCCTATCATTCATAGATAATCTATAAATATATATATACAAAACACAATACTACCATGAGTTATGCACGAGATTCGCACAAAATGTGCACAACTACTTTTATTTCTAAATTTATGTTATAAGACATTTTTTGTTTTTTTTGTATGTATAAGTTGTAGGATATTTTTTAATTTTTTTGACATATACTTATAGTATAAAGAAATTATTAAGTTTTTAGAGTTTTGTGTTGCGAAAATTAAAATAGAAAAATTTTAAACCAAATATACCTTAATGATAAAGTCTTATTGCTTTTGCAATAAGGATGGTGTAGTATCGCAATCTAAAATCCCCTCTATATAGAGTTTAAAATGTTTGTGACTAAAATTGGAACACACACTTTGAAGTTTTTGGGTTTGTTCTTCTATTAAAACTAAGATTTTTCAAGTATTCCACCGAGCCATTTTCTTCAAAAATCTTCTTGAGTGTGTTTCTCTAAATCCTCTTGGAATTTTTTGTCATTGTTTTAGATTCGTCTGCAACTAAATCATATATAGCACAATGTATCATGCTTAAAAACAAAAAGACAAATTATGATAGTCGTTGAACTTTTTATCTCAAGTGACACATTAATATAGCAAGTGGTGTGACAACGATGACATATGTGTCAAGTGAGATTTGTTTTAAATAGCCCAATAGTGATGTATTTCATTTTATATCTTATTCTCTATGTTGTAAACCAAGTCTAATTGAACAATCCTAAACACTAATCAATCAAACACAAACTAAAAAGCATAGAATCAAGAACAACACACCAATATACCGTGGTTCCCTTGTTCAAAATCAAACAAGCTACATCCACATTGAGCTCCAGAATATGGAGACTCGCTGCACTATGATTAAAAACCTCAAGATGTAAAGATTACAAATATATCTCCCTCTTAAACTCAACTTCAATCACTCACTCACTCTTGTCCCCTTTTACACCGCAAATCTTGAATCCCTATAGAACCCAATACTCTACCCTTGAAGGAAAACCCAACCTTCAACAAGATTCTACACAGATTTACAAAGGAGAACTAACCCGAATGAGAAAAAACACCAGCAATAGAGACTACAATCGCAATAATAGAGAGAAAAATCAAGAGAGCTGATTCATTTGGGAAAGTGTCTTATTTTGTACCATTGACCTGCTGGGTGAATATAAGCCATTGGATCATGCATCAATCGAAGGGCCATAATTTGTTGAAGCTTCACAAAACGACATCGCATATTTAAGTTCAAAATGGCACCGTAGACTTCACAATTTAACTATCTCCACATTGAAGTCTGTGGTCACTTCTCAGGCAGGATCCTCTTTAGTGCAGTAAGTGTCTACCATATTCCTTCTTGGCTTTAATTGGTTGTTCCACATGCAATAAATTCAAGCAATGCTTGAACTTTGCAAGTGTTACAACCTTGGTTGCCATGTCTACCGTATTATCTTTAGTGGGGATCTTCATTAGGTTCAACTCCTTTCTTGAAATCATATCCCTTACAAAATGGTACCTTACATTTACATGTTTAGTCCTCTCATGATATACAAGATTCTTTCCTAGGTGAATGGCACTTTGACTGTCTGAATAGACAATCACTAGTCCATTTAGTAGCTTGGCCTCCCTCAAGATTCCTTGAAGCCATATGGCTTCTTTGAATGCATCGGTTACAGCCACATATTTTGCTTCAGTTGTGGACAGTGCTACTAATCGCTGTAATTGAGACTTCCAGCTGACACAATTGCCTTCCAAGGTGAAATAGTAAGCTGTTGTGGGCTTCCTTGAATCCCTATCACCTGCAAAATCAGAGTCTACGTACCCAATCAGATCAAGTGAGGAGTTTCTTTTACAAAAATTCAAACCAACATGCACAGTGCTTCTAATATATCTAAGCAACCATTTTAAAGCATTTAAGTGATCACATCTAGGGTTTGACATGAATGTACTTAATAGGGATATTGAATAGGATAAATCAGGTCTTGTACTAATCATAGCATACATGATAGAACCTATGGCATTAGTGTACCGTACAAATTCCATCTTTAACATTTCAGCTTCTGTTTTTGGGCTTTGTACCTTACTAAGGATGAAATGGCTAGCTAGGGGCATGGTAACGTACTTAGGGGGTGTTTGGTTCAGGAATGTTAGATTATTGGAAATGTTGGATTACTGGAAAGATAGATTACCTTGAAAGATTACTGGGAATCTTTAAGAAAATGTGTTTGGTTAGTTGGTGGGTATGTTATATTAATATGGTTGGTTATGGGGAATAAATTGGTGGGTATGTTATTTAAATTACTAAATTGTCCCCTTTACAAATATTAATATAATATTATTTTTATTATTAATTTTTGAATAATTTCTTTTAACCACCAATATTTCAGATTTAGTTAAAACCCCGATGCTTATATAAAACTTTAATTTATTACGAAATCACCCTCACCTCCTGCCGTCAACGCAGACCACCGCCAGAAGTCTCCGAATGTCCCCATCAGCAACTCAGCGTGACTAAGAGGCTTCGATATAGCCGTTTTCGGCCATATTGATGGCCAGAAATAGCCATATTAGGCTAGATCTGGCCGTTAATGGCTAGATCTATTCTGGCCATTAACGGCCAGATCGGTCCCTGGCCATTATCGGCCAGATCTGGGTGTGATCTGGCTGTTAACGGCCAGGTCCATGGCCGTTAACGGCCAGATCTCGCCCAGATCTAGCTGCTAATGGCTAGGCCATTAACGTCCAGATCTATCGATCTGGCCTGATATGGCCGTTTTAGGCCATCAATATGGCCGAAAACGGCCATATCGATGACTCTCGGGGCCTCTCACTCAAAATCGTTTTTTTTTAGGGACTCCAGCGAGTTTTCCGAGGTGGTCCATGGTGGTTGGCTGCTGTAGGTGGTGGTGGCTAGGTGGTAGTGGTGGTGGTGGCTGAGTGACAGTGGTCTGTAAATTGTTTTAAATACAACGACATTATTGTCCAAAATTTTAGTTAAACAAGGGTAAAATTGAAATAGGATATTAATGTAAATTTATTTTAAAATGAGGGTATTATTGTTTAAAATTTTCATTAATAAGGGATAAAATTGTAACGAAAAAGGATAACCCTGGTAATCTCAGAATACCTAAGAAAATGGAGGTAATCAGATTACCTCCAATATTACCAATAGTAACTACTATTGGTATTTGAAGATTACCGGAATCTTATATTACTTGACAACCAAACGTGGTAATCAAGTAATATCGGATGACATTACCCCAATAATCTGACATTACCGCCAACCAAACGCCCCCTTAGAGTCATTCATTCCAAACTTTAAAATCAGTTTTTGTAGGTAAGGCAATTGATGGAGTTTTAAGCTATAATTTTTTCTGTTTCTATCTATTAGCATTCCTAATATCTTTTTTGCACAGCCTAAATCCTTCATGTCTAATTCAGCATTCAATTTTCTTTTCAATTCATCAATATAGGCCTTGGATTTACTAATTAATAACATGTCATCTACATATAAGAGCAAATATATAGGATTGTTATCAACATATGCAAAGTAGAAACAGTTATCATAGTCACTCTTAGTGAAGCCTATACCCACTATAAAAGAGTCAAATCTCTTATAACACTGCTTAAGGGATTGTTTAAGTCCATGCAAGGATTTATGCAACAAACATACATGGTTAGGTAGGTGTTTGTCCCTAAAACCCTAGGTTGAATCATATAAATCTGCTCTTCTAATTCCCTGTGCAAAAATGCAATTTTTACATCCAACTGCTCTAAATCATAATGAGCTACTATAGATAATATTAGTCTTATAGTTTTAAATTTTACTGCAGGTGAGAAGATTTTAGTAAAGTCGATACCTGCCCTTTGTGTGTAGCCTTTGGCCACTAACCTGGCCTTATATCTTGGCGAGTCAGAATTGTTAATGCCTTCCTTCAGCTTATACAGCCATTTACACTCCACCAACTTCTTATCTTTTGGTTTTGGGACCAAAGCCTAGGTCTTGTTTTGCCTTAGAGAATCCATCTCCCCCTTCATGGCAGCAAGCCATTTCTTGTTGTCCTTTGAGTTGATGGCATCCTCATAAGAATCAAGTTCAGTCCTCTGAACCTCTACACCAGTAAAAAATGTTGTGTAGATGAGATCAGCATAGCTAAACCCTACAGGGGGTCTTATTTCCCTCCTTGCTTTATCTCTAACTAGTTGGTGTTGTGTCAAGTCCTCTGGTTGGGCATCCTTAATATTCTCCACATATTCACCTTCATCATCATAGTTACTGTCGATAGGTGGGTGTTCAGGTTCAAGTTCTAAGTAGACTCCACCTTAAACTGTGTACCCTCGGTTTGATCAGAGTTTTCTAATTGGTGGCTTGAGTACCTCCATTAGTGTTTGTAACCCTGCAAGGAAACACACACTCATTAAAGACCACATCCCTACTGATAATGGCCTTGATCCCTTGTGCATCTCTCTCCCATAGCCTATATCACTTGATCTCATCTTGATACCCTAAGAACACACATTTGAGGGACCTAAGTTCTAATTTCCTATCCATGGTGTGTGCGTAGGCTGCACACCCAAATACTCTCAGGTGGTTTAGGGATGGTTTTCTACCTGACCACTTTTCCTCAGGGTACTTAAAGCTTATTGCACTAGAAGGGGGCCTATTTACTAAATAAGCAGCAATGGTTAAGCCTCCCCCAAAAATGACTTAGGTGGACCAGTTGTGAATAAAAGACACCTAACGTTCTCTACCAAAGTCCTATTCATCCTCTCAGCAACTCCATTTTGCTGGGGAGTCCTTCTAACTATCCTATGTCTTAAAATTCCCTAGTCTTTACAGTATGCATCAAACTCAATGTTAGAACTCCAAGCCATTATCTGTTCTAAGAGCTTTGACCTTTTTCTCCACTAGGTTCTCTACCAAATTTTTCCAGCCCTTGAACTTACTTAGGGCCTCATCCTTAGATCTAAAAAGGTATACATATACCTTCCTACTGTAATCATCCACAATGGATAGGAAATAACTATTCTCTCCATGTGATTTAACTCTCTCTGGACCCCACAGATCAACATGTAAATACTCTAGACAATTTGTAGCCAGGTGAGTTCCTTTTGGGAAACTCAGCCTGTGCTGTTTACCCATAACACATGTTTCACAGAAACTAAGATCTGACACATTATCATTGCCGAAATACCCTTGCTGTTTAAGGGAATCCATACCTATTTGGCCTATATGGCCCATCCTTAGGTGCCACTTCTCTGCAGGAGGGATGTTAGTAGATATAAAAGCAGAATTAATAGCCATTGGATAATACTGTCCACACAGAATATACAAACCATGCCTCTTAATCACTTCAAGCAATATTTTATTATTCTTATAAACAGAGATGCAACCATTTTATCCTTATAGCTACAACTAGCTTCATCTAGGGTTCCTAATGAAATCAGGTTACACTTAAGCTCATGTATGTATCTCACTCTTGTTAACATTATGAATTTACCACTACTTAGTCTATTGGTAATGTTTCCTACACCCTAAACCCTATAAGAGTGGTTATTGCCCATAAAAACTATTTTAGGTTCACCATTTGTCAAATTTTGAAACCAGCTTTTGTTGGGACTCATATGGAAGGAGCACCCTGAGTCTAACACCCATTCATTAACTATTTCAAAACTTGATACAGTGAGTGTTGTAGTGATTTCAATGCTATTACTAAAGCAAGTTGTGTTACTCTCAGTATTAGGCTGTTTTTGCTTCTTAATCCAATCATAATAGTTCTTTTTAATGTGTCTAGGCTTATTACAATAAAAGCATTTTCTTGTCTCTGATTTAGGTTTATTATTAGCTTTTCCCTTCTTCTTATTTCTTAAACCTAAATGTAGTTGGGTATTTTTGCCATTTTCTTTTCCTAAATGTCTGGCATCCAGTTTACCCTTCGCAAACAAGTTATTCCCATTTCTTTTTTGGATTTTCAACTCAAGTTCTCTAGATTTCAACCCAGCTATTATCAAATCAACATTGGGAACAGTCCCAGTGTACTGCAATGCATTTTTTACCACTAAGTATTTATCAGGTAACGAGTTTAATAAGATCATTGCAAGACTCGAATCCCCTAATTCCTGATCAATTCCTTTCAATATCAATGTCATTTTTAAGAATTCATCTATGTTTTCTTCTAATGACTTAGAAACATCCATTTTGTAAGAAAACAGGGCACCTTTTAAAAATGCTAAATTAGGAGAAGACTGTAATGTATATAAAGTTTCGAGTTTACCCCAGAGTCCGATCGGTGTGTCCAGACTATCCACCTTTCGCAACACGTTGTCAGATAAATTCATAATGATCAAGTTGTAGGCTTCTTCATCTATTCAACTTTTCTTCAGACCACTTGGTAACATCCTTCTCCAGTGCTATTCCTACCTTGTTGTGGGATAGAAGAGTCGTCATCTTCTTCTTCCAAGTGTTGAAGTCCATCTTCCCATCATATTGGGAGATTTCTACACGTGTGGTAGTGCTCATAGTTTGGTTCAAAGACAAACCCTAAAGATTCACTACCTGATCTTGATTGACTTCCTTTGATTTGACCCTCTGAGATCAAAGTTGATCTCTGGTATTCAAGAATTGAACAAAAGACTCAAGATTCAAAACCCTAGAGGTCAAGAACTTCCCTAAATTGAAAAACTCCCAAATTTGACAAAACCCTAAAATCGTGACTCTGCCAATTTTGGATCGATATGAAGAATAGATAAACCCTAGGATACAAGCTCTGATACCACTGTTGTAAATCAAGTCTAATTGAACAATCCTAAATCAATCAAACACAAACTGAAAAGTAAAGAATCAAGAACAACACACCAATATACCATGGTTCACTTGTTCAAAATCGAACAAGCTACATCCATGTTGAGCTCCATAATGTGGAGACTTGCCGCACTATGATTAAAAACCTCAAGATGTAAAGATTACAAACAGATCTCCCTCTCAAACTCAACCTCAATCACTCACTCACTCTTGTTCCCTTTTACACCACAAATCTGGAATCCCTAGAGAACCAAATACTCTACCCTTAAAGGAAAACCCAACCTTCAACAAGATTCTACATAGATTTACAAAGGAGAACTAACCCGAATGAGAAAAAACACTAGCAATAGAGACTACAATCGCAATAACAGAGAGAAAAATTGAGAGAGCTGATTCGTTTGGGAAAAAGTCTTATTTTATACCATTGACCTGCTGGTGAATATAAGCCATTGGATCATGCATCAATCGAAGGGCCAGAATTTGTTGGAGCTTCACAAAATGGCAACACATTACTTAAGTTCAAAACGACACCGTAGACTTCACAATTTAATACTCTATTTAATAGAGTTACAGTTATACTGAGGTCAACCAAAAAAAAAAAATATGAATCTACGTCCAACCAATGAAAAATCTGATAATGTTTTGCACCAAAACAAGGCAAAGCCTCGAGAGCAACAATTAGAGAACTTGTTCGTTGAAGAAGCTAGTTTTTCTTATGTGAAAGATGCTCTAGATGAGATTGACTGTCCAAGATAAGTTTTGTTTATTAGGAAGCATAGGTAATTTTTATAGATTGACATATATAATAGAAGTAAATTCAATGTTGTGGAGGGCAAATTATCCTATAATTACCATAGGAAAAATACAATAATGATACATGATTGAATCCTTATGAAACTGATGCAACCATTATATATACAATTATGACAAATAGCATATAAATCCTTATGAAACTCATGCATAAACTTAGTATGTCAACTTAATCATACAAATCCTATCTAGTTAATGTTACATTGTAGGGCTAAATTTTAATTTTGTGGTAATTTCATAACATTTGTAGATAGGAAAAATTGTATAGAAATTATTTTTTTTTATGATTCAACAAAACATACATGATTGCAAGATGAGGAAAATTCTTTGGTAATTAATTTAATGTCAATAACAAATTTGAATATTTTAACTTTGCTACAATTGATTTTGTATAAGTTATGTTGTAATATTTTATTTCTAAGTCTTATTTATTTATTTATAAGTCTTATTGTTTTAGTCTCCAAACTCAATCTAATTAATTCGGTTTATAATTGAAATTTTATAAACTATTAAGTCATTCAACTATTAATCATAAAAATGTTTATTTCTCTACTAGTTTTCTAGAAGACTTTTGGAGAAAAGCAAGAGTGTGAAACAACTTTGTTTTGTCATGACAAGTCGGTTATTGCTCATTGCGAAAAATCTAATTTGTCACGACCAAGCAAAGTACATTGAAATTAAATATCACTTCATCAGAGAAGCGTCAAAGAAAGGCAATATTCATCTTGAATATTGCAAAACAGAGAAGCAACTTGTTGATATACTTACCAGGGGAATTCCATAAAAGAAAATTTTTGTTATCTTAAGGAGAGTATTGAAGTTGTGAGGATCATTCATTAAGGTGGAGTGTTGAAGTTAATGCACGATTATGAATTCAACATGTTTCCAGAATTTATTTTTATTAAAATATATGTTAAAGTTAGAATTCTTATGCATGTGTTTCGAAATTCTCATGCATGTTTGAGTCTTTCTAAGTGATGTTTGAGTTTCTCTAAGTGATGTCTGTAATTCTATAAGAAATTAATTGTTGAGTCTTCATCATGTAATCTCTCAAGAAAAACAGAAAAAGAATTCTAGCAAATTTAGAGTTCTGCGGTAGTAACTCAGTTTAATTAGATTCCTCTTCTTAGGCACTCTCTAATTTGCATTTTTTTCTCCAACATATGAATGTGTTAGTCTCACCCATCTTTCTCATGCTCTTGCTTGCCCAGTGTTGACAAATTGGATAAAGCTTATGTTTTTGTATATACAAAGTAATTTACAGAAATAACCATTATAAAACAACTTTGAAAAATGTAAACTGAAACAATCATTTTTACTTGAAAAATTAGCTAAAATAGCCCACTTTTGGGGGGCTTTATAGAGAAATGGCAAAATTCTTAAACTTTTACAAACCTAGAGACATGTAGTGCCCAAATTTCCAAACGGCAAAAATACAATTGTCTATTGGATATTACTTGCACCCTAAGTAAATAATCCAAGAGATATTCTCCTACAAAGAAGTAGAATCACAATCTAATGAGGAATATGATACGTTTACAAGTCCTAAAACACCTGTAAACATGAGTGGACAAGGAATTGCAAGTCCTAAAACACTTGCTAATTCAGTTGAATTAAAGAATTTCACTCCAAGTCCTAAAACACTTAGATTGTGGAATGTGGAAAGCAATGGAGGATATTCAGTCCAAGCAAGTTCCAAGGAGGGAGAGAGTTCAAACATTTCGGCCCAAGCCACTCCAAGCCCAAGCACAACAAGGGAAGCTCAAGCCCACCAAGAAAGAAGTCCAAAGTGTTGAAAAAGTCTAATCTGGCCCAAGTTTCATTCCAAAGGGGAAGATACACATGATCCCTTATTGGATCCATTTGCATGATTCTCAAGGTCCAAATTCTTATACCCTTATTAGTAGACTTAATTGGGATTATTGATTAAGTTTTGATCTAATGGAAGTAAGCTTATTCAACTAATGGGGTGGTTAAAGACATAGATCCTAGAATTAGGGAATTATGTCTCTTTTGTATTAAATATGCATGACCTTGCTTTTTGAATGAATAACTTGTAATATTTAGTTAAGTTTATTTCATTTTTTTGTATTTTTCAATTACTTGTTTATACTTGTATTTGCCTATATAAATCAACTATTTTATTGTAACATTTAGCTTTTGAAATATATGAAATTGGTTTATCCATTTGAGAGTACTTTTGTGTTCTTAAGTGTGAATTTTTTATCCAAGTCTTGACAAGGGATTTGGTGGTGAATTAATTCAAGTTAGTGAAGCAATCCTTTATGCTTGAAGTACTATTACTTGTCTTGGTCCGGAAATTGCAAGTAAGTGTTTTGAATTCTAATTTTTGTGTTGGCCGAATCTGCTTGGATTTGTGGTATGTTGTTGTGTTGTATTGGTTGGAAATTGATCAGAATATAAGGGAATTAAGTAAGTTGAGTCAATATAGGAAGTGGATGAAGAATGGATCTGTTCCAAAAATAATTGAGTTAGATCCCAAGTTCTCTTAAAGACCACCTTTCCGTTTTCTGCTAGATATCCTACTCCACAAAGGGAAGTATTTTCCTAAAACTCTCTATACTTCGTTATATAAAGGAGGCTGATGGCATGGAATGATACACAACAATTTATACGGAAAAAGCCTCACATTAGAGCAATTGCCAGTGTGTTAAGAAATATGGGTTTTTTGTTTTATTGTTTATTAAGGGTAGATTTGTCTTTCATTATTTCCTGTTTTAGCCTATATATATATCTTTGTATTTAGGTTAAATCATATTTTTTGTATTCAATTGAATTGTGCAATATCAATGAAACCCTAGCCTCCTCTTTTTTATTATTTTCAAGTGAACATTGACTACAGCCTATATTGCCTCCCTTCTTTTCTATCCTTGTGATTTTGCAGGAAATCTATTATTTCTTGTAAGAACCAGCATTGCAGTCATCTACGATTCTAGACAGGTCAATCTAAGAGCAGAACGAGAAGGTTAGTGTGGTCCGAAGGCAAGACTCTAATCTTGTTTGGTTCAAATTTTGGCATCAATAAGACCTTTTACCCACCAGAAAAAATGCCTCTCCTTTGTCAAAAAACCTTCTTCTTTCCCATTTTCACTCAATCCTCTTCTTTACACATACTTGACACTGAAACGAGCTCTCAAGCCCCAAAAGAAAGAATGAGCATACTGAAGATTACTTACAAGAATTGAAATATTCTCAATTGCAAAAGCTAACAATTAAGAGCGTGTTTAGGATTGTTTTAACTTAAGAATTAATCTACTACAAGAAGTGTATGGTAAACAACTTTTAAACTGATTAATTTTTAAGTTAATTATAAAATAATCAGTATCATAAATGACTCAAAAGCTAGCATGAGTAACTTTTAAAAACCATTTATTTCTAAAGTTGATTTTACATTGTTATAACAAATATACCCATACATGATTCTTTAAATTCCAAAATTAATTAAAAAAACATTGATTATTACATATAATTTCATTATTCTTTATAAATTTAGAAAAAAAAATTTGAAATACCAGTGGTTGTTGCACCACTGCATTGGTCAACGGTGAATGACTAATGGTCGTTGATCAACTGTCACGCTTAGATGCCAATCCGATCCTATAGGATCTAAAAATTCTAATATGTTGTGGCATAGATAATGACCAAAAAACATGTTTCTCTTCAATATTTTTAATTTCTAAATTTTTATTTTGATAAGTATTTAATAATTATTTAAAAAATTAATTGTAATAATTTATATTAAATAAATTAGTAAATAATTAATAATATTAAAAAAGATACATTGACTGGCCTAGACCAATATAATTATCTATATTAAATAAATTATTAAAAAATTGGGTTTCTTTAGTATATTTTTAAGAGGGGAATTAATTTTTAACCCCACTATTTTCTCTTTAGCCCCATTTCTAATTTTAAATGAGGATATAATTGTAATAAAAAAATTTATTCTTCTTCTTTCATACTTTTACTTCAAAGATTTATATTTGCACTTATTAAATTTTAACAATTCAGAATTAACAATAAAGTATAAAACACAGTCATTCAATATCATTACACAGTTATGAATTTATTTGTTTACGAAAACCTCAAATCTCTTACAATCGAAGTAATCACTTGTAAATCTTATCTTAATAAAAGAAAAACCTAGTTTCATACCCATTAAAACAAAACCCCGTTTGATTGTTAATTCGTGTTGATTTAAATTTACTTCTAATTTTTTATAACTTACACGTTTTATAAGGGGATAGGTCTACTCCATGTTTTACAACCCAATCTCCCAAAGCCCAAGCCCACATGAAAAGTATTGAAAACTTGGCCCAATATAAGGAGAGTATAACCGTTACTTTTCCAAAATTCATGGAGGAGTAAAAATCAAATCAAAACAAAACAAATAAAATAATGGCCACCTTCTGGACCAACTTGGAGAAGGAGTTACGGAGTCTGGTGGATACTACTCGCAGTTGTTGCAAGAATATGATGCAATTATACTTTCTGCCTCGTTGACTGAGAAGTTCTCAATACCTGCATCTCATGAACCTGGTGCTAATCAACCCCTTAAGATTATAACAGCTACTAATCCTAGTTCTCTAATCCAATTTCCTCCTCTCACTGAAGAAACTGCTTCTAAAGTAATAGTATTTACAGACAGAGAGGCAACTCTGGAACCTGAAACAGCTAAAAAGGGAATTGAAACTGTGGTTCTGAATCAGATAACTTCAAATGCAATTCTGGAATACTGCAAGCGCAGGGGATTGAACAGTGTTTTACTGGATTTGAGAGGTAATTATGCTGATCTTGAAATGCTTCTCAGAGAGGGTATTGAGCAAAATCTGATGCAAAAGGTCATAGTGGAAGTCTTGCCAGTATGGCATGAAGGTGATGGTGGGAATACACTTGCCCTACTAAATGGTTTACAGAACGGATTAGAAGTGAAGAAATTACAGCCTAAGATATCAAGTCAGAGCATTGTGCTTGAGGGATACCTCCGGTATGGGTGATTAGAACCCCCGGAAACAGAATGCATCAGCTCCCGCTTCATGTTGGAGTTGGTTTGTCTATTGAATGTCAAAACGGCAACCTCTCCGGGAAGTTCCTAAAGAAGCTAGCTGGGATGCAGTGTTATCTCATTTTTATTTTGGTTTGGTGCATAGCTTCTTGATCAACATTCTATCCTCCACAACAATTTTTTGCTCAATTTACGATCTTCCGCATCTGCTTTTTGTTGGCTTATTTTATGTTCTTGTCCAGAATTTCTTGCAAGCTTGAATGAGCAACACTAAAAGTTACATCTGACCTCGTTAATAATGAATATAAATTATGAAATGCACAATCAGATTTAATTTCAAACTTGGTAGATCTTGTGTTTGTGACTGCTTACGAGGAAGTGCTTGGGAAAAGTTTTTAACTTGGTGTTTGGAATTTATTTTTCTTTTCTAATCCGTAACCTATCTTGGCTGAAATACCCATGACTGTAATAGTTAATATGCTTTAGTTTTGTGATGTTAATTCAATCTAATCTCTAGTGTACAGATTTAATGGTCTAAATGTTAAATACCCCTCGTAAATTATGTTGATTTCTTTGAAGAAAAATGATTTAATGATTTATGCTCGTTGCCATAAGGTTAGTATGCCATATCAAGGTAACATTACTTTCAAGGTCACCCTACAATTCAGCACAGCTTGTCCCGCATTTAAGATGCCAATCTGTAACAGGTGTGTCCAAATGCCATTGGACTAATTTACACAGATAAAACTGTACTAAAGTTATGAATTTAGTATATATACATCAAAAGTGACGTTTCCTGGCTGCCTCACTTCATATACACATATATGCAAGTTCCAGAGATCAGCTGTAATATGTCATCTGGATGCAGAAGGGAGGTAACTCCAAGCTTCCGACAATATGAAAGCATTTAGGCAGCTTATTCTGTTGCCCATGTAAAGATGTAGATTGACTTTCCTGTCTACTTCACGAGTTAGGCCGACCATTATGTGAATGCTCAAAAGAATGGCTCTTTCGTTTTGCAGTTATCTGTGCTTGAATAACTTTCTGAGTTGTTATTACTTCCTCAATGTTGCTCTGAACAAGATTGCAAAGTTCATCCAGGGCTAACACTGGAAAAGGTTCTTCAATAAGTACCCCAACCTACAGAAATCAACTATCAGATTCATATTCATGTTTGACATGTAACATATGCAATATATCTTCACAAATGAATGGCGGGTAGCAAATTGGATATTTGTCACGACTTGCACTAAAGAAGCAAGGCGTTTAGGTTGCCAGAAAAATTAGTTATTTGGTATCTCCATACCCATAGCAGAAGTAGAACTTCCAAAACTCTTTTAAGGCAAAGGAGAGAGTAGAGCCAAATCAAGACTGCCTCGTATTCTTCCTATTTGCCTAGAATAGCACTGAGGATGAAGGGTACAAGAAGTCTATTTGGGCCTACAATGGAAAATTTCATGCATGGGAATATGCAAGCATTATAGCCTCCTTATTGGACTAACAACTGTGACAGCTAGTCCCTTCTCGGCTCTCGCTTTATTTTTTACTTTTATCTTGAAGCGGCCTTGCCAATTCAGTATAGTAGGAAGTCAAATGGAAGCCAATACAAACCAACTTCAAAAAAATTGAATGAGAGATCATAGGCAACAGAAAGTAAATTTATATTAGTAGACACAGTAACATCTACATTTGATGGCAAAGAGAAAGAGATACGTACTTCTTCTATGCAGAACAAAGATGCAGCACTGATGAAAGTTGCAGGAACCACTATCCAATGGCAATCATCCCAAAGTATGATTGGAAGAGTCAGATGCCAGAGAACTAGAAACCTTGATGTCAAGCGTGTGTATGAGAGGGGGATAGGAATACCCATGAGTTGTTCACATATACCAATTCCTTCATGAAAACAAGAGATCTTTGACTCCTGCACCATTACAAGGGCAATTAAGATGAAGATTTTGATAAAAGAAACTCGGTTCGGGATCGCTATCTGCCATTTGGACATCATTTTTTAATTTATGAACTCATTCATTAAAGATAAAGAGTTTCCCTAGTTGCCTTTTAAGAATCAACAATTTTTTCATGAAACTATAACCCAAATGAAAATCTGAGTATTTATCTAATGCAAGAAGAGAGATACCAAAATAGTTCTCCTGGATTCCTCTAAGTTTAGCAATCGCAGGCTTTGGGAAATGAATTCAATAATGCAGCGGGGCCGATGCTTTGAACTAAGTACTACTGCCAAATCATCTCCATCAAGCAAAGTTTTGAGATCTCTACCGATATCTGAGCCATAAATCACGTGACACTGCACAGGCAAAAAAAAAAAAAAAAAAACACCAGGCTGTATTACCAACTGCATCGGAATTTATAATGCAGAAATATCTCCCAAGGTAATGACAAAAAATGAACTCTTTGACTAAATTTTACTGAAACATAAAGTCATATCAAGCCTTCCGAGTTCCGCCGTCACACCAATAAAAGTACTGAGAATCTATGAAATTTTCATTAAAAGCAATACAAAAATGCATCCAAGAGGTTGCTGAAGACTCCCTCTAAACTAAGGAGATACTATTTCACAAGTTCTAGATTCTCTTTCCCCTCATCCTTTCATAGAAAAGAAAACAACTTTGATGAAAATAATTTTAATTGGCTCCAAAGAATCACAATATCCTCGAGTCTCAACCTTCTAAAACATTAAAATTAAGCAGGTAATACGCAGAAAAGATCAAGAATTAATGCATTACTCCACGACTAACAACGGCAAGAAAGAGAGGACCACCTTAAGAGCAACCGGGAAAGCCATAATATAGCGCAAAAGCGCATCCTTAATAGAGTCATCAGCAGAATCGTCAACCCCAGAAATGAGCATCCTAGCAAAATCATTCGTTCCAGCAATGATCTTAGTCCAAGCCTTGCTCCCTTCCTCATACCTCGAATATGAAGCCTCAGTCCTAAACACCAAAAGCAGCGCCAAAGCCGGAGCCGTCAATTGATACGGCAACGTAGAAGCTCTTAAAACGGGGAGGAAGCCGGGCAACAAATGCATGTCCACAGCAGAATTGTAACTCGCAATAACCACAGCCACCAAAGTAAAAGCAATCACGGGAGGGATTAATGAAAGTATCACGCGAGAAGATAAGCTTGAAAGTAAATGTCTGATGTGACGCAATGAGCTTCTGTGATTCACCCATTTTTCGTGGTTGTACAGTGATCTTTTCTGTTGCATTCCACGCTCTTTCACGCGGTCAGCCCAGTCAGGGATGGCGCAAATAATTGACTTTACTGTTGGGGTTTTAAAGGGAGATTCTGATTCAGATTGCGAGGAAGAGATGGTTTTGAAGGTAAGAAGTTTAGTGGTTTTGGAGGGAAAGGTAAGGGTACCATGTAATTTGAAAAGGGGTTTTGGGGTAAAATTGGAAGAAAGTGAAAGTTTGGTAGATTGGTTCATCGGGTTTGAATAGGGTTTGAAGAGAAGAAGCAGAAGAAGCAGAGAACATGTTACGGTTTAAAGCAGAGTGAGAGTGAGAGTGAGAATGAGAATGGATGATAGGTAGCTGCCATTGGCAACGGTTGTTTCATATTTTTACACGTTTAAATATAATAAATTCGATCAAATTTTATGGGTTTTTCTTTGTCTTACTGCTTTAGGACGAAATATTTGTCACGGACCTTTTCTTGCCGTCCATCTCAGCCTTTGTACTGAAATGAGCATTCACGTGGATAAAGTGACCGTCCTTGACCTGTTTATATTGTACGTAAGTGATCGAGTCTTCTTAAAAGATGAACGGTCTAGGAGCTCACAATCCCTGTGAGTAAATACTGGTGTATTAGAAAAACTAGGCTCTATTTTGTTTATTATTTTAGGTAGGATGGTAGAGATAGTATTTGATAGTTGAATAGAATAATTATTATGAGGTAAAATTTAAAAATTTATCTAAAAATCCCTTAAGTTTGCTAATTTAATTAAACACCTTAATATATAAAAATTTTGTAAAACGATAAAAACATCCCTACCACTCACAGTGTCAGATTTCGGCCACTACCGTCAAAATCTGGTCTGAATCTGGCGTTATGACGCAGATCGGTCAGATCTGGCCTGAAGTGCGTCGATCTGGTCTGGCCTTTTCCGACCAGATCCACTGTGGATCTAGCCAGAAAAGGCCAGATCGATGAATTACCAGTCAATTTCGATCGTTTATAGGCCGTTGTGATAAATTTTAACTACCACCAACGATAGTTGCCGGAATCTGACAACTATGGGTAGGTGATTTAAACTTTTTTTTCTGAGGGTATTTATGAAATTAAAAAACTTAAAGGGTTTAAAAATAATTAAAAAAATATAATAGTATTTCCTAAATAATTAAACAGACAAATATTTTTAGAATATGGATAGAAATATTAAACCAAATACACCATAGATTTAATTGAACATTTAGAAGTCTGATAAACATCCTCTTAAACGGAACTTTTTCATGAAAATCACTTAATAATTTCAAAAAATAGTTTCAGAAATAAAATTTCCAAAACACAAACACACCTTTGAAACCCTGTGCATAATCTCAGATGTCTGTTGCAATCTGGTAGCAATTGTTAAAACGGTTTTTATCAAACCTCAAAAATCCATTAAGACAACAAACAGCAACTTCATTATTTCAGCAAGATGTATACAAATCCGAAATTTTTCCTTCAACAAAAAGGAAAAATTTATAGCAAAGGATCAGAAGGAACTTGGTCTGATAATATAACTTCCATATATCCACAACAGCCATAGAAATCTACTTAAAAAGTCAATACAGTCATGCTCCTGTGCAAACCTAACTTCTTATAACCTAAGGATCTCCCTTGGCACCTCCGGAGTTCAGCTCCTTAGTCTGGTTTTCTTGAGATTTTTTTGTTGATCCAAAGATGAACCCTTTCACTGAGCTTTCTGCTGATAGTATTGCCCGTTTAATCTGCCATTGCATATTAATGCCATCAGAAGAACAATCATATATCAATCTTCAACCAACTGTTACAATTTAATAAATTCAGGAGCAATATATGTTAAGAAATGATATTCAGTACTAACGATGTGGTGATTGGGAGAACAGAGGATGACAAAATTGACCAAAAATTAAGGAAAGCAGACTAGTTTCCATCATATGCAAATTCCCTAAGCTGAATCACCTCCCCAATGCCCTAAACATGAATAAATCTTCTAGCCTGTGTCCTGTCAATATTCTGCTTATTCCTTCTAGCTGTCATTCTTTCTGGAAACCTTAAAATTGAAACTTCTCATAGAAAGCCAATAAAACACTGTCTACTGTTGACATTCCCAAGGTAATGGTTTAGGGGATTAAAATGAAAAAAACAAATAAGAAGTTGAAAACCCATAAGTTCAAAAGATGGTGAATTAAAGTTGCTTGCTTCAACAGATCCCTCTGCCAACTCCCAACTCCCCCCTCCCCCCAATTCTCAATGCACTAAAAGATGGAAAAGACAAAAAAATTTTACATCATGCCATTAATTATAAGTTGAAAGCTGAAGAAAAATCGTTGTTTGAGAGCCCAATATGCCATACTATCAATGTAACTAAACATACCACTGTGTTTTATACAAAAGTTCAACAGGTAAGGAGACTGTTCAAATCTGAGTATTCTACTAAACAAACTCCCCAAGCAACAATTTGCATCCTCATGCTTCAACCAAAGACAGAACACATCTAATATAAACCACTAGAAAGGATTTCAGTGGCAGCTGAAAGTCACTATTCTCTGGAGCCATAACAATCAAGCCTATAAATTTGATCTCACCCTAACAAATTTATAACTTTAATCCTGATTGTTTAGATCTATATAAAATTTCAATACATCCAGCCCATAAGCTAATCCTAAGCAAACTTTTGCTCATAAAACTCTATTGACAAGAAAAAACACATGCAACGGGACATCAACTTATTGAATCACAAGTTTCAGGCTTATACTGCAACACAATTGTAATTGAAAACTTAATGGTTTTATACCTATAAATAGGTTCATGGCATATGCCAACTGCCAATGTGATTGATATAATTGAAAAACTAAATGAAAGGAAAAAGGAGATCATTTTTTCAGCACGAAAAGACTGACGGCAAAAACAAGGTAGAAACTGACATTCAACTGCAGAACAAATAGCAAAAACTCGCACATGACCGTTCAATGCAAGATTATTGACTCATAAATTCAACTAGCAATTTCAGAAAATAGCAAAATCACAAAGTCCCAATTCATTCGAAACGAATTAACATAATAAAAACCCGTAAAGATGGTAAGTTGGTAACAGAGGAAAGAACCAAATACTTATTTAACCAAAAGAAAACCTTTGACAAAAACCCATAGAGTAAAATTGAAATAAAGTAATATCTTCACTGAGAAATGCATATTAAAAAAGAAAGAAAGAAAGAAATAATGTTAAAAGAAACATACAGGGTCAAGTGCGTTAGGTTCTGGGCCATAATCAGCTGTTAATAAAAAATAAGAGGCAACTGCAGTTGCCACCATCGTTGTTCTTCTCACCAACTTCTCTGTTTGTGGGTTCATCACATCCACTCGCTTGATTTCAGAAAGACAAGCAGAGAAATGGGAATTTACAGTAAAGAGAGAAGGAGAAGGATTTGGAAGAAATAGGATGTTTCAGTTGTGGAAAATATTTAAATCCACCCTAACTTTTAGCATCTTATCCAATTTCCTCGTAAGTTCGAGATTTATGTTGTCTCACACTTTGACTTCCTTGTACATTATTTGACTCTGCTATTTTGCTTACACAAATTATTATTATTAACAAGCGCTAAACACGTCTTAAGCTTCTGACTAAGACTCCGTTGTCTCAGCACTCACTCAGACACTGACAAGAGCTTCCATGGAAGAACCAAAACCACCACCGCCAGCAGCAGCAGAGAACGCACCTGCCCAAGTTACAAATCCACCACCGCCAGCAGCAGCAGAGAACGCACCTGCCCTAGTTACAAATCCACCACCGCCAGCAGCAGCAGAGAACGCACCTGCCCAAGTTACAAATCCACCACCGCCAGCAGCAGCAGAGAACGCACCTGCCCAAGTTACAAATCCACCACCAGACACTCCACAAACTGTGCCTGCCCAAGTTACAGATCCACTACCAGACACGACACAAACTGTGCCTGCCCAAGTTACAGATCCACCACCAGACACGACACAAACTGTGCCTGCCCAAGTTACAGATTCACCACCAGACACTACACAAACTGTGCCTCCTCAAGCTCCTCCTCCACCTTCTCTTCCTCCTAAAACCACCAAGAAAAGACCTCTTGACAACAATGGACAACTCCAAAACTCCAACTACTACAAGATGCGTTTTGTTCTTAAAGATCTTCGTCCTCATTTTATCGAGGTAGACTTCTTACCTATCACCAAAATTTTTCGATTTTGTCTGAATTTGTTGTAGAATTCTTGATCCTGTCCTTTCATTTCTTGGTTCGCGTTGGTAATGCAATTGGGTTCTTCTACTCACTAAGAATTTGCTCTATTTTCACATTTTAGTGATTTCATATCTGGATTTGTTTTGATTAGACATACAAATGTGCTCTTAGCCAGTTTTTTTAAGCAAAAGTGATTTATTTTAAGGTAACTCAGCTCAAATTGGGGCTTGATATCATGATAGAATTTGGGGTTGGGTGAGGAGTCAAACTCACCTCGAATTCTATCATGGTATCAGAGTTAGGTCCAATTGAGCTTAGTGATTGATCAACAAGTGAAGAGTTAAAACTAGCGATTACCTCTTTTAACATGCATGACCCAACATATGGGTTGACTGTGAGGAGAAGTATTGGAGTCCCACACCGCTAGACATGCTTAAGCTTACTGGTTTATAAAAGAGGGTAATCCTCCCATTCAATAAGACCTTATTGGGTGAGAAGTCAGACCTTATTGGGTGAGAAGTCAGGTCTATCTCAAATTCTATCGTAGTATTAGAGCAAGACCCAGTTGAGCTGAGTGTTTGACTAGCGGGTATCTCCATCAATAGGCATGACTCAACATATGGACTTGATTGTGAGGGGAAGGGAGAGTGTTGGAGTCTCACACCGATTAGGCACGCTCAAGCCTACTGGGTAATCCTCCCATTTAATAAGGTCACCGATTAGGCACCAGGGGGAAGAGGGTGTGTTGGAGTCCCACACCGATTAGGCACACTCAAACTTATTGGGTAATCCTCCCATTTAACAAGGTCACCGATTAGGCACGGTAAAGCTTATTGCTTTATAAAAGGGGTAATCTCAACTGGTTTATAAAATGGATAATCCTCCTATTTAACAAGCCCTTATTGAGTGAGGAGTCAACAAATTCTATTAGTCAAGCCTTTGTCTTATGATGAGCTTTTGTCGCTCCATATTTGTTGATAATTTTTGTTGTCTTTGTTATATTATCTTACGGGGTAATCCTTCTATAAAGTAGGCACGGTCAAACCTACTGGTTTATAAAATAATATAATCCTCTCATTTAACAAACCCTTATTAGGTGAAGAGTCAAGTCCATTTCAAATTCTATCAGCCAAGCCTTTGTCTTATAATGAGGTTTTGTTCCTCCATATTTGTTGATAATTTTTGTTGTCTTTGTTATATTATCTTTGCAATTTTATTTTCCGTCTAGGAGCTATTATCTTCCTTTAATAATGCCATTTGGCTTGTTAATTCCCTCTTGCTGATTTGGTTTGACCATTGTTGCTATGCTTATCATAATCATAGTATGCTCCAATTCTACATCATATATCTATTTCCCTGGAAAATTGATACACTTTGCGACAGATTATCTGTTCTTTATATACTGGCTTATAAGCATTTCTGTTTCTGGTTGGTAGACTGGAATTAATTTTAGCCATTTGGATGCCTTTCAGAGTTCTCTCTCTCTCTCACTTTTTTTTTTTTTAATTGAAAAGTATATAATGGTCTTGACATTTTACAGCTTCGATGATCATGCATTAGTCTTTGATATGTTCTTGGACTTCAATGTGAAGTGTCTAAAACTCCTTCTGTTTTTTGTAGGTGTTGCGGACACCTGACTTTCGAAATTGCAAAGTAACTCATGAAATTCGGGAAAGTAAGCCATCAACTTGCTTATCTAGTTCTCATAATTACTTGTAAAAGTTGTCCATAAATTCGGATGCTATCTTCATGTTAGTATGCTTAAGCTGATTTGAGTTTTAGTCCTTGACGGAATTTGTGTTGTAAATCAATACCAATCCTTCAACCTGCAAGATTAGCCATAAAACAAAACAGAAACTGCAAGAACAAAGCACAATCACACAACACAAGATATACCGTGGTTCGCTTGTTCAATATAGAACAAGTTACATCCACGTTGAACTCCAGAATATGGAGCTCGCTGCACTATTATTGATTTCCTCAAAGATTACACTTTACAGAAGAATCTTCTTCACTGATATTCCCAGAAACAAACACTCATTCACTTCCCTGTATCCCGCAAATCCTAATAAACCCTAGAGTGTTCTATAACCTTCAAGGAACCCCTGCCCTCAAACACAACTCTAGATAGATTCACACAAAGATGAAACCCAGAATGAGCATGAAACCCTAACCCAGACCAGACGAGTTTTACAGAGAAAACGAAACGAATACCTAAACTCGATTGCCCTCAAATGCGTGAATAGTCCCCTTTTATACTGTTGACTTCTGAATGCATTTGAGCCGTTGGATTCTCTTTATCTTTGATGGCTGAGATTCATTTGGAATAATGAACAAAACGACAGCGTTTTGTTTCCTGGTTAAACGACGTNTTTGCAGTTTTACAGTTTGCAGTTTTGTGGTTTATGACTGAATTTTATGAAGAATGGAAATAGTGAATGTAATCTGATGAAGACATGACCTGCTACTGTACCTGCTGCTGCTGAAGTTTTATTTTCTGAGTCAGAATTCAGAAATCTGAACTAGGGAGTTCATTTTGAGTGGGCATGTGGATTAAAGTGTTAGAATTCAGAAGATGAGGACTTAGTTGATATTTAGCTAAGTAACAACAAAACACAGTCGTTTTGTGTCTCTCTTAAACAAAACAGGTGAGCTTTCTTCTCCACTCCACTTTCCCCTTTTTCTCTTTACTTTATTCAGCTACTATCGTTACTTAAAAGTAGCTGCAAACCCTCATTGTAATTATTCACTCATTTACTCAATTGAATATAGTAATTGAAGCAAAATTTGTTTCTCTTTTTCTTTCAATTTACAAATCTCTCAAAGTCCAACTCAAAGTTCATAAATTCGATGTTAAAAATAATTAATTAGTTCTGATTATTTTAATCAGAACTGTCCTCTTTCTCATTTCCAGAACGATTGCTTTTTTGTAAAAATAGAAAAATTCAGTAACACACACACATATATATAAACGATTAAACGATATCATTCATGAAAATTCTGAAACTTCAATCCCATCTCTTCCATCCATCTTGACAACTTGTTGAAAAGAATAGAAGAATATGCAAGAGGCGTTTAGTTTGTGACATAGAACGTCTGGCGGATGAATTTATGGAGTGGGCTGAACGTCAGAAGTCCATGCGTAAAGCCCAAAAGGCCTAAATGAGTATGCCCCATTTAAACGGCCATAATTTTTTATATAAGAAGAGTTACGGGGCTTGTAAGATACCGTTGGAAAGCTTGTTTCGAGCCCGTCAATGTGGAAACTGCTTTAGTTGGTTGGAGGTCATTTTCGAGGTCAAAATCCATCGTTTGGCATGTTTCGGGGTTGTTTTAGTTATTTACTCGTTTTTCCCTATTTTATTTCAGATTTTCTTGTTTTAATTGATTTAGTTTTTGTTTTCTTTTGTTATTAGGAGTCTTATTAGGGTTGGTTGTCACCCTATATAAACTCATTTTTCATTTTGGAGACTATTCAATAAATTATTCAGATTTGACTTTCGATTTTAAGCTTTAAATTTCTGGTTTGAGACTTGTGTTACCAGTTCTAAAGGCGTAGTTGAGTGCTAGCCTTGTTTTATTATGTTATTCACTGTGTTAGTTTGTAACAGGAGTGGTAGTTAAGTTCGTTAGTAAGCAGAGTCAGTTGTAAGTTTTAGCAAGCGGTGCCATTTCTTAAGCTGCATGCACACTCCTCCAAGTCCAACGCTTTTCTATAAACACCAAACATTCTATCATGAATTCCAGTTAGAAAAACTCTCAATTTGTTTCAATCATTTATCTTTGTTTACACAATTCTATAAGATATCAGGACTTAATTAGATTGTTGTAAATCAATACCAATCCTTCAACCTGCAAGATTAGTCATAATACAAAACAGAAACTGCAAGAACAACGCACAATCACACAACACAAGATATACCGTGGTTCGCTTGTTCAATATAGAACAAGTTACATCCACGTTGAACTCTAGAATATGGAGCTCGCTGCACTAGTATTGATTTCCTCAAAGATTACACTTTACAGAAGAATCTTCTTAACTGTCACTCACAGAATCAAACACTCATTCACTTCCCTGTATCCCGCAAATCCTAATAAACCCTAGAGTACTCTATACCCTTTAAGGAACCCCTGCCCTTAAACAATACTCTAGAAAGATTCACACAAAGAAGAAACCCAGAATGAGCGTGAAACCCTAACCCAGACCAAACGAATTTTATAGAGAAACAAAACGAATACCTAAAACTCGATTGCCCTCAAATGCGTGAATAGTCCCCTTTTATACTGTTGACTTCTGATTGCATTTGAGCCGTTGGATTCTCTTTATCTTTGATGGCTATGATTCATTTGGAATAATGGACAAAACGACAGCGTTTTGTTTCCTGGTTTAAACGACGTCGTATGCTTCACTTATTTAACATAGATGTTATGTGTTATAGAAAATTAGTTAAAATCATGCGAAATTGAGGACTGAATTACAATTAAAGTTCAGACCTAAGTATATCTTGAATATAGAGTATAGATGAAGAATGCAGCAGGCAAATCGTAGCAACATTTTCTTTCTTACATAAGTCAAAATTATTTGGCAACTGATATACGTACAATTTGCATGTTTAATTAGGTAGAATGAACTTCAGGTCGATGAGGTTAGAATAAATTAGGGTTTGTGATACTGTCCATCTAATCCATCATGTAGTTCTGGTTTTCTGGAAGCGATATTGGTAAGTTCAAGATTTGTTTTTATTTCTTTATTGTTTTAACATCGCTTCTGAGAGGGTCTTGATCAAAAAAAATTTAAAAACTTGGAATGAATTGATGGTTTACCAGGACACAAAAGTATTTTATCAAGTCACACTCTCTCACTTTCCCACCAGCCAAAGACACACACATGACCCAAAAAAAAAAAAAAAAAAAAGAGTAAATTTTTGTAGAGAAAAAGTAAAGTAAACACTAAAATAATAAAACGAAACAAACCCGAATGCTTTTACATAGTATTTTGTTCAATCGGAAGTTTTGATTTATCAATTTTCAGAAAAAAGATTAAAATAAACAGGAGGAAGGAAAGAGAGAGGAATGCAAAGTTTTAATTTGAGAAGAGAGGAGACGATTATGAAGACGAAGAAGATAGGGAGAAAGGGAGGGAAGAAGGAGGAGAGAGAGACGAAGAAGGAGGGGAGAGATTGGATTGGATATAAAGAATAAAAAGGACAAATGTATATATTTGATTAATAACGTAAAAACCTATTATCCATTTGACTTTTGGATTTCAGTTCGTAAATTTACTTAAATTTCCTTGACTCATGTTGACTTTTTTAAACGCTATTTCCTGAGGGGGTGGACAATGATAACCCGACCAAATTGTACATATAAAGGATTGAAATCCCAATTTCTTTTATATATTTTGATTTTACTCAGTTTAATATGAGAACAAATATAATTCACTTACTTACTGATGCTGTATAATATCCGAAATTAAAGAAAGATACGTAAAATGTTAATTGTTTCATCATGAATACCAAAAATTTTAAACAATTATAACTCGTTGATAACTTAACCATTTATTAATGAAATTACAAAAGTTGAAAGATAAGAATAAAATAAATAATAAAAAAAAAATATATAAATTTTGTCGTGAGTTTTAATCTGTATTTAAATTTATGATCCTCAAATGATTGCAAAAATATAAAATTGTATTTAAATTTATCAATAATATTATACTTATAAAGAAATCAAAGATTTCTATACAAAATAAAGTGACAAAAAATGAATGAAAAAATGAAACAAAAAATGAAATTCAATATATTCACAATTTCATTGTGTTTTTACTATATCACTTTCTATAAAGATATTGTAAGTGTAACATTATTCTAAATTTATATCATCACGGGAAGAAGGTGATTTTTTTTCTCTTCATGTGAGGTAGTGTGTTTTCAGGTCATTTCATTAAAGAATAACATGAGATATTAACTTCTCTTTGCAATTGTAGTTGGTAGCTTTTAAGTTGGACAAACGGTTGGTAATTATAAGCTATTACTAACATCTAAGAGAATTTGTAAGAGTTTATAGTAGTTATCTTTATAACAATAATAATCTCACGTTTAATTTATAATAATAAAGATACTTTTGTTTATTCTATTATTGACCATTGTCGTCCTTAATATCACTAATAGATGAACGAATAAAGGATCTCTCCTGTAAGTACGTTGTTGGAGAGAGTAAGGTTCATCAAGTTTGTTAAGTTGCTAAGCTGTTTCGGAATCGAACCCGAAAGAAGATTGTCATTCAAGTGAAGAGTTTTAAGCAGCTTCAAGTCTCCCAACTCACCAGGAATTGGTCCATCTAAACCACAGCTTGGGAGATCCATATGAACCAAATTCACTAATTTGCCAAACTCCTTCGGTATCCCACCTTCAAAAAACACTGTAATAACCCAAATAAATCTCTCTCAAGTTTGACAGATTTGAACCACCAAGATTCAAATCTGTCAAGTCCAATGAAACAACTCTGTCCTGGGAGCAAAAAACTCCAGCCCAAGAACAAACTGAGCATGGATTTGATGAATTCCAGGAGGTTAAAGCTGGTTCAGGGGATAGAAATCCTTGTTTAAGAGAAACCAGGACATGAAAATCATTGACCAAAGAAAAGGCACAAACAAAGACGGAGGAAGAGATAGCACTGATGAAGAGAGAGGAGCGACAAAAGAATGCAAAAGACCATGTTTTGATGGGAAATTTTGTAAAAGACGGTTCAGTTTGGAAGGACTTGATGCAATAAC